CAACGACAGCCGATAGTCCAGGGATGAGGAGCGATGCCGCGACAGGGAAAGTAGAGGCCATTGGGCAACCGGCCCACGGAAATGACCGGTAGCAAGTTAGTGATAAACCCTTTCCATCTGTGTTTGTGTTGGAGTCTATTGTTGGAATTGTTAAGCGATGAGTGAAGCCCAAAAGACCTACAATGCAACACGTCCTCCACACATCAGTGCATCTCCGCACTAAAGTACATTTTGCATTCCCTTCTAGTTTCACTGTATGAATGAGGCATCGCATACGGACTGCAATTAACAAACATGGTATTGTCCTATCACGTGCATCAGGCATGTTCCAGAAGCAAGATGTATTCACCAAGGAAACTCTTGTGAAACTGATTTCCAAAGCCAGTTGGGCTCAGATTTTAATGCCGCTATTCCTTGACATGCAACTTGTTGGCATGCTGCGCCTGAGGCTGCTCGCATTCCTGATTAGCATGGTTTGGGCTGACCCGAACCATACAGCTGCCCCGAAAGCATGGGGCAACTGCCAGGCTTTCGGTTGTTATAGCGGCTACAACCCTGGCCACAACTGCCAGTGCAATGATGAGTGCAAACGCTATGGCAATTGTTGTGCGGACTTCAATACGTGCTCCAATTCTGGCGGCAGCTGTCAATCTTTCGGCTGTCCCGCCAACTATGAGGCATGAGTTTCAAGTGGTTCCGTGAACATACGATCAGCTTTTTGAAAATTGCATCACAGGTTGGCCATGCTTTTTCTTTGTGTTAACCTACACAGTAGTTCGTATAAATACCTGGAGCCCTAATGTAGACTGCAAAATAGGATCATCCTCATCATGTGAAGTCCCAAAATCTCTTTATAAATTCAGTTCGCATTTCATGTCTCATGTTCTTTTCCATTTGACTTTCCATTACGGGGCATGTTTTCCCGATGTAACCCTGATCTCTGTTGGGGTACGCATGGATGTTCACCCATTTGTTGCACCCTCAGCCCTAAACCCCAAACCCCTAACCTTGCCCTAAACTCTAAGCCGCGCCCTAAACCCATAAAACCTAAACCCTACATAATTCATTAAAGCCCATTATACTAGTTTCCGTTTTCCTTTCTCGCCAAAGTCTGGGAGGCTGGCCGCAGTTGCCAGTGCAATGAGGCGTGCCAAACTTTTAGCAACTGGGTATGGTACCCAATATAGGGTTCAGGGCCCTAAAATGGAGAATCAAATGGAAAAGAAAATTGGAAACTGGGGTTATGTAGGGGTTATTCGGTCCCGGTCGAGCAAGAGGTTGGAATATTGTCTTAATAGGTATAGGGAACCCGGGATACAGGGCCCGCATTCGGGGCCGTGTCGATCAAGATTCCACAAATCCTAACGGTCATCACAGATTCTGAAAAGTTATTGCATTCATGTTAGAACTCTGGATCTAGGAAGCAACCACAAGCCTGAATGTGAAATATTGGCGCATATGACCTGTACCCCCTTACGCATTTCGCCCAGGCAACTGTTGTGCGGACTTCCGGACGTGCTCGTCTCAAGCCGCTTTGCTGGCATTGCGACACTGCCGAAAGCCAAAAACTCTTGTTCTGAAAGTCCTGAATTTTCCAGCGCAAGCACCCCGAGGCTTGCATCTACCACCTTACAACTACCTCGTAGCTACCTGAAAATTGTTCTGCGCTGTGTACATTCGACCTGACATTGCAAGAATGAGCCCCCTTGAATACTCCCCTGTATAGCCTCTTATCTAAATCCCTTTAAGGAGCTTAGATTATGGCTCATATTATAATAAAACCCCCCCCTATATAATCCCTAACATATTATAATATCACCCCTAATATACAACCCCTATATAACCTAAGCCCGTTTAAGGAGCTTAGATCATGGCTCATATAACCTATAGTCTAAACTCCTAGTATCCCCCTTAATACCCCCTATAGTAGTTCCCTATATAAGCCCCTATATAACCCCCCTTTAAGGAGTTTACACTACGTATGGCTCATAATGAACCGCCTTTGCCAAAGGCTCCTCAGCCAGCGTCTCCAGCACGCGGCCAAGGCTGGTCTTTTTCTTTCTGGGGGTTAGTAGGGATTAAGGGAATATATTATATATGTAGGGATTAAGGGAATAGTATGTAGGCAATAAGGGAACATATTATATATATAAGGACTATCTAGAGATTATACTCCCTTATTCCCTATTAAGTACAGGGTAAGTTTTGGGGATTTGTGAGGAACCTAGGCTTTTGGGTTTTTGCGCTTTAAAGTTGAGACGGGCAAGCAGTGGGCAAGCTTCTGAATCTAAGGTATCAGATTAGTACGTATTGCCTCTATTGTTAGTTTCAGTAAGATGGTTATGATTTCTTTTCCTCTTGCCATTTTGTTTCCTACTCTTGTGTGCTACTACCCTGTCTCTGGAGCAACAGCAACAGAGAAGCTAGGGCAAGAATAGCACGTCGCAACATGTAGCGCATGCCGGCTTGGTGACAGGCCTTTACTTCAGAACGGAGTTTGCACAGTCCAGTCTGATCCTTCAGAAGGAGCCTTTATTTGATTATCTGCTTCTTCAAGGTGTCCCCCCTGATTCTAAGGAATGGCCTTTCCTGGGTTCGCATGTGACAGTAATAACGAATAATGATGTGGGACGCAGGGTTTATGGTCTGGGGATATGTAGTAACCAATAATGAACCATGATAGCAAGCAATAGCAATTCATCATGTCAATGGATCATGCCTCATGGGCAGTTCAACACTGGATCGCGACCTCGTCGGAGGTAAGCAGAAAGATCCATTATCGGATCTGAGCCCTCTACTCCAAACATGTTATCAACATTATTATTAGTACTATTCTATTATTATTATTATTACTACTACTACTACTAGTACGATTATTCTTGTTTTTATTAGCATTACATTGGTCTTTCTATAATCTCACTATTTTTTACGGTTATTACTTCTGAAAAGAAGTGAAACATGTAAGTCAAGGCTTGAGAAGCGCGCAATGTAGCAGTTTCAAACCCTGGCCAGCGAGCGTACTGCATTTGGACGGAGCTGTAAACGGTCCACACGAAGACCTCCAAGAAGGAATTTCAATATTTCACTGTTCACTTGAAAGCCCCTAGCCTAAAGCTCAAGCACGCAATCTTTAATGCCCGAAACCACCAGCCCGCGACTTCAAAACTCCATCAAACCCTAACTGATAAAGCTCTTAGCCCGCAAGCATCCTTATAACCCTTTGAAGGGACCTAAGACTATCCCCAACCCTTTAACCCCCGCACTTGCACTTCCAAGTGCTACCCTGGAATCCTGCATGGAGCGCCCAAAGGTGCCACATGCCCGGGAACCATCCAGTATCTGGGCCGCTGTTCAGGAGAAATAATAGGGTTTAGGGGTCTGGGGTTTAGGGTTAAGCTAGGTTAGTGTGCTGTGGATGAAGCTGATAGCTTGGTTTCCTCAAAATAGGAAGTCCTTGAACCCGTAGCTCTAAGCCTTAGCCCTAGGCTCTAAAAACCCCAAGCCCTAAGCCCTAAACCCAAAGCCATAAACCCTAAACCCTATTTGCTCCCGCATCTTTCACACATCCATACTTCCTGCTTTACTGTACGCCCTGGACACCTGTCCGTTGGATAAGCAGCACTTCTGCACGTTGGAAGGGCACTATTTCAGACTACTCCGCAGGGCTCTGAAGATCAAGGCATCATATTATTCCAGAATTTCCAATTTCAGGGTGTGGAAGGCCGCCCAAAGGCCGGTCTTACCATCACAACATATTCTATCTCAACAGTTTAAACTGCTGATAAAGTCCATGACCACTCCGCCAGCTCAGCCTTTACACCATGTAGTTTTTTCCCGCGGTTATAAAGATAGGATACGCTTCTCAAAACCCAAGTCCAGGGGTCATCCAGCAAAATACTGGTTTGAATTAGTCTCAAAACAAGCCCTCATATTTCACAACCGCTACCTGGATCATACCCCACACGAATCCTCCAGGGACATTAAGGGAGTAGCACGGTTAGCACAAAAAGATCCGGAATACGGCAGTAGCCTGGTTACTGCGCCAACGCGCCAACCAGCTCTTTTCCAACTGTACAGCAAGACTATCGGGACCCTATTTGCCTCTCTTTGCAGCAACCCAGGTTGCGTGGTCATGGTTGCTTGGCATTTTCTGTGGCAAAGGTATGGGTTTTGGGGCTTTCAGAGCCTTAAGTTATATAGGGGTTATATGTTGGAGTTATATTGGGATTACAATGGGGTTTTACTGGGATAATGGAAAAGAAAATGGAAACTACTGCAGCATAATAGGGTATATATTGGGGTTAAGGGTTCCAAGTGTTTTTTGGACGAGTTTTTGGGGATTTCGGGTACAGCCGCTGCGGGGCCTTTCGGGGTCGGTGTTCCACTTGCGGCTCTCTGGCGTACAAAGTTTTCGGACTGTGGGTTTACGGTTTTGCCTTTAGACGTGATAGTTTCCTTAGCCCTGTTAGCCCCTAGTTATTGCATGAAATTGGAAAGGTTGAATTTATGGTGGGGTAGTCTAGGAGCGGTAGCACAGGGGCGAAATCTCGAAATGAAAGAGGTCAGACTTGAATTTAGCCGAAAGCTTTCAGTGGCTTTGGGATGTAGTCTGTGTTGGTGCCCTAAGCCCTAAAGCCTAAAGCCTAAACCCTAATCCTAAACCCTAACCCCGAAATCCTAAACCTTCAACCTTAAATCCTAAACCCTTAGCCATCTTGGGCTACAGTCCTGCTGCCTTCTCTCCTTGATTGGCACACGCAGGCGCCATCCAGCTGTCAAATGCCTTCTGGAACAAACCGTATGACCCTGCTGGTGAGGTGAAGCTGCGGATTTCAAGCTTTCGATGAGTTATCTTTTGGTGTTGAAGGCTATTTGGGGGGTGCCAATAATATGGATGGTAGTATATTGGGTTCCCCCTGTTTATGGGCTTCTTTTACCCCGGATTGGTTATTTCTTTCCTCGCTCGACTCGGATCCAGGAACGGGGCCGTTGAGATCTTCATGAAAGGGAGGTCGGGGTGTTGCATCAAAAAAAGCACATGGCTTGTGTAGATGGACGACATGACATGCCCAAGATGCCAGATACGCTAGGCTTTGCAATGGCTTGGCAGTATAAATAAAGATCCTTCCCAAGTGGTGCATGTGTGCCGTTACGCACGATGGTGTTGCAAGTGAATGTCTTGCCCAGCTCCGATTGAACACTTTATGGTGTTATTCCTGAGCTTGCAGCTTGCAGATGCTCGGGATGCACGAACCTAAGACCAATCCCTGACACATGATGCCTTCCTGCCTTCTACTGAGCCTATGAACCTTTGATCCCTCAAACATGATCTGACACACAAGCCCAGAATCCGATGCGGTTGCGAGAGTGATACTTGCAAAGGATGGATTCCAAGCTTGTGCACCACCATAAAATTCAGTACATTATAGTAGAATACACTATATCCTAGTATAATCTTATGTGGGTAACCCCAATATAGACCGCAACATATTATACTCGTTATGATTGGGACCACCATAAGCGTCCCCCCAGCTGTGAGAAACCCCCATATCTATCCACGGTATCACGGTGAGCTCTCAGAGTAGCCCTCCCCTCCATCCTTCTCTTCTGCAACAAATGCTTGCATAAGTGCCACATGGGACATGCACTGCACTTTCGGAGTAAGCCATGTTACCTACCCAAGTCCCAAGGTCCTAGAGAGAGAGAGAGAGAGAAGGCATCGCACACGCCCCATGGGCTATGCGGCTCTCCTCCAGCGTGCTCCGTTAGGATGAGCACAGCCTGCAGAAAAAGAAGCAGAAGAAGCAGAAGCAGAAGCAGAAGAAGAAGAAGAAGAAGATAGAGAGAGATTTCATCTTCCCAAGCAAGATTCCCTGCGTGCAGGACCTACTTCTCGGACGTCTGCAGGCCCGGCGAGTTCTCCAACAAGCGATACACGAGCCTCCAACTGCTTGGCAGACGCCTGCGGTGGACGACCGATGTCTCAAATGCCGATTGCGGGTGCAACGCCGCCTTCTACCTGACCTCCTTGCCACAGAATCCTCAGGTGAGGCGCTTCACAACCTTTCCTGTTCTTGATTGAATCCTTCCCAGGGCCATCCCTTTTGAAGTGGCACCCTGAAAACAAAACCGACAAGGTCTCCGGGTGTGAGGATTACTATTGCGATGCCAACAGTGTCTGCGGTGTGCGATGCACCGAGATTGACTTGCAGGACTCCGGCAAGTTGTAGAATGATCCAGGGCTGATGATAAGGAAGAAGACCCGTATTGATCCCCTATGAATCTCCCATGGGGTTGAAGGTTTAGCATGTGAGGCAGACATGTAGAAAGCTAAGTTCATTGAGATCACAGTCGAGGAAACTATCAGGGTCATCCGACGTAACCCGCTACGACGTGGATCCCCAAAAACAATTCATGCCCAGAAACCACAAGCCCTATTCCAGACAGCGGCGAATGCCACGAAGAAAGACCGCCGGCGACTATCCGCATGTTTTTCTTTGAGAAAAGCCCATGATACAACCTTATAGTAGTAGCTTTACAACAAAATGAATTCCCTGGTTCCAATAATGCCGAACACAAATCGAGCACTCCCACTGATTCCCAAACAGTTTAGCGCCTAGGGTGTATCTTATGAAGAGCCCTATCATTCCTCAGAATCTGCATTTGAAGACTCTGGGGATCTCGTAAGCACGTTTAACATGGGGTATAAATCACCTGATAAATTTGTTCATGTCATAGTATATAATACATTATCTACTACATGCTATATGTTTGATATACACTGTAAATTGTATATTACACATTTTACAGTACATATTATATATTATACTGTATCTTGTATATTATATATTCTTCAATATGCGCTATATATATATATGTACTATATTTCTTATTACATGCTGTATTGAGAGAATCATTATAAAGCCATACACATTTGACTTTCAAGCGCGCAAAAACCTAACCTAGTGCATAGGAGGCCAACAAGCATGCCTTCCACTCCGTGCTGCACCTTGCACAGGATAACTCAGGCACCGCCAATTTGCTATGTTGGGATGTAGAGTTGGGGGGATCAGTGTTAAGGAGGTAGATCTATCGGGGGAGTGGATGAGTGTCTTGGGTTCAATTGGGTTCAGTTGGATTCAGGAGGTTCGTGGGCTCGTTGTCAGAACCTCTGGGAGGACGACCCCTATAAATCCTTATAGATCCCCATAGAACCCCTATATCCCCCCTTTAAAGGGTACCCCTATGATCCCCTAACCCCTGTTCAGGCAAGGGTCTTGGATACGGCGGTGGCTCGTCCTGGAACTCGCACCGTGACTGGACCAGGGAGGAGTACGGTCCTGGAGGCCGCTGCATCGATACGCGGAGGCTGGAAGTTAGTGTCGGTTTCGCTGTGAGGCTTCTCACTGTGCTTTGTTGCTGAAAGTACCCAGGTTCGGCCATGTGTTTATCAATATATAGTATATATTAGATAATCTAGTATAAATATAATATACAGTATATATACATAATATAAGGTATACAAATAAAGTATAACAAACATATATATATATAGAGTATATAATGTATAGTATTATACATATATATATATATACACATATAATATGTATAGTATTATATAGCTTGTCATTCTTTCCTGAGGCCTTTCCAGGTGGAAGTTGGCTTTCCCACCGATGGCCAGGGCCGCCTCCGTGCGATGACTACGCGCCTTTCCCAGGGTGGAAGCAGCTGTGCCTGGGTAGGGTTTAGGGTATAGGGGTTTAGGATTTAGGGTATAGGGTTTCTAAACACTTTTTGATTTCTATCAGCTTTAATTTGTCTTGAATCTTTGTGAAGCCCTTAGAAACAAGTTTTTCAGGGCCCTTCAAACCTACCCTAGGCACCCTAAACCCTAAACCCTAACCCTAAACCCTAAGGCCCTAAACCCTAAGGCCCTAAACCCTAAGGCCCTAAACCCTAAACCCCAAACCTTAGACCCTTAACCCTAAACCATTTAGGTGATTTGTCGGCCCAAGTCTCGGCCGAGTCGCGCCTTGGCAGCCTGCTTTACTCCCCCCCACCTAATAATACGGCTCCCTCATATGAGCTATCGTCTAAACTCCTCAAAGGGGGGTTATATAGGAGATTATATAGGGGAGTATTACAGGGCCTATTAAGGGGGATACTAGGAGTTCAGATTACAGCTCATATGAGGGTTTCCCAAAATTAGGGGTACCATTTTGGGGGTCTTGATAATATGGACTATAGTATTTTGGGGTCTATATGGGGGGCCTCTATTTGGGGAAACTACCATATAAGTTCTCCATCCCAACAGCCCTTAGTAATACACATGCTCCCCATCAGAATGATCAAAGAGAAAGGGGTATAGGGATTGTTGCAGGGGGTATATAGATTTTTTTTTGCAAGGGCTACCACAGCTGTGCATTCCCCCCATGACTGATACTTCCCCAAGAAGTTTTGCAGATGTTCAGGGGGACCTGAGCTTATTTTGGTAATGTAGGGTTTAGGGCCTAGGGCAACCAAAGCATTGTAGCGTCACTATTACCTCGGAGTCGAGTAGTCCTATGAACCTCCAGTATGCACCCTCCCTCGAAAGTAACATGGCATCATTTTCGCATGGGCATATGGGGTTGCATTAAGTCTGTTCGGGAGTCCAGTACTACAAACACACAGTGTAAACCCCAGGCACCCTAAACTCCAAACGCTAAACCCTAAATGTTAGTTTCCCTAAATGGCCGGGGGGGACCCCAATATAGACCCCAATATCTCAGAATTCTTATCCTATGTATTTTTATAACCCCCCCCATAATTCTATATCCCCTTTACGGAGGTACCGCTTTGGTGGAAGCTCCAGCGTTGCAGAGCTCACTCGAGCCCTGTCACAGGGCATGACGCCCATGGCAAGCTATTGGAGCGCCCAAGACATGCTACTGAGCTACTGTAGAAATTTTGGGTTTAGGGTTTAGGGTTTAGAGTTTTTAGATTTTGCGGTGAGGGTGGAATCAAAGGTTACACCTTAGATCATAGTCGTTGATGGGCCTGAAGAATTGCCAGTAATGAAGAAGTTCATGACAAAGAACAAAGAACACCAAATGCAAACGAGGCGGTTACAGGGGCTTATATGGATTATGCATTGTAGAGGCTGGGATACCTTCCAAGACTATGATCTTAGATTCCTTGTATAATTATGTTAAAGGGTATCTCCATGGGGTGTAGGGTTTAGGGGTTCAGGCTTTTCAGGGTAGAGGGTGCAGGATTGAGGGTTTGGGGCTTCGATATATTAAGACCCTTGGGCTGAGGGGACATTCTCACCCTTGAGCTATCATAGTAATAACAAAGCTTGCCACAATTTGCGAGGTGGTTGATACGGAAGGGACACCTAGAAGGGGCCGCTGAGCCCATTACTTTGACATGCAGTCACGACCATGGACAGTTGCCCGAAGATTTTGCTGCTCAATGCAGGGCCTGTTTGAGCTGGGGGTCACGTTCTGGAACAGAGTTCAGGGCTTGACCTGTCCCCTTTACTGCGGGGGTAACTGTGTGCCCCTTTTTGTTACGGGGCTTTCACTTGGGGTTCTCTTAGGTGCCTCTGCTGCTTTGTGGGTCTTCGCAAGCTTTTGGGCACATACCCCTGCTCAGCTCACCAGGCTTAGGGCAGACCAGGCGGGTCTGCAGGGTCCAGTGCGGGCCCCCTCCTCCAGGCTCTCGGGGTGTTTGAATGATTGAGGGGGAAAGTGAACTTACCTTTAGGGTTGGGGCCTTGGTTATAACAGTAAGCGGGCCTTCCTGTGAGGTTGCTTCCGCGCAACCGCGCATTGCTGCCTGCCTTCAGGCTTCTTCTGCTTCTGAGGCGCCTAGGTCCGCTTCGGACTTTGTTGTCATTGACCCCCCTGAGGGCGACTCCGAGCCTCCTTCCGTGAGGCCTTCTCTTCGGCGCTCCAGAGCCCCCCCTTCCTCTCGGAGCGACGTCTCCTCTTCTTTCCCGTTGGGTTAGCTTGGCACACCAGCTTTCGAGCACAGTCAGCCCAGGCCTTTCTCGCCTCAACCGAGCGTGGCTCGCAGGCCTTTGGGCAGGCGCAGTCCTGCAAGGACGTGTGGCGACACCGGCCCACACTCCTGTGCTTAAGCTCCAGCCAAAATTTTACGTCATTCTCCGTGCAGAAGGGCTGGACCGCCCTGCCCTTGTCACAACCTCAGCTGCCTACTTTGATATCGTGGGGAGGCCTTTCAACCCCGTTCCCTGTCCCATAGCTTTGCTTCCCTTCTAAAACCCGCGTGTACTGTGACGCAGCTGGCGTTGCACTGCCATCCCAGCGATGAATCTCCAGCACGTCCCCGTTGCAGGGGTCAGCGCGCCATCGTCCACCCTTGCATACTCAGCTGGGTCTCCAGCCCATGAAGGGAAAGGAGACGCTTTGCAGAAGGCAGCGAGCTTAGTGGGGCCTCCGCCCAAGACCAGAAGCCCGGCTCTTCCTGTCACTGCGGTGCAGGAGGAGGCTTGAGAAGCGGAGGACATGTTAGGAGTGGGCAGTGTTGTGCAGGCCTTGCTGTCCCAGTCAGCCGCCCTCACCAGCCTGGTAGGCCACCTGGTCCAGGGCGGGAATGCAGATCCGCTGCTAGACGCCCAGATGCCCGGGGCTTCCCGAGGGTCGCGTGGCGCGCTCGGAAGGGCAAAGCTTCAGGCAGAGTTGGCATCAAAAAAGGGGAGTTTCTTTGCAAAGGTGATGCAAGCCGCTGCCAGGAGGATGGACCCCACAGAGAGCTGCAATGCGGAGCCAGCCGAGCTCCGGCAGAGGGGCCTATCCATGGCAAAGTACATAGAGAGACTTGGAGGCTACGGGCAAGTCCGCAGTGTGGACCAGGCAATGGCCGGCCACATGGAAGCGTGCTTGGACATCTTGTCCCTACTGTGTCTGCCTGGAACAGGCAGCTCTAGACAACGGCTCCATGGACATAGGCTACTTGTTGACCCTTCAAGAGGAGCCGCCTGCGGCGATCATGAGCAACAGGAGCCTGCTGGCTGTTGGGGGAGGTCAAGGGCTTTCGCCCCCTTGGCGGACCAAAGTGGGTGACCACCTCGCTGGCTTACCTGCGAGAACTCGACCTGATCGCACAGCGGAGGGCGGAGACTGTGGACGATCCCCCGGCTGCTCCCAAAGCAGCGGCTGGAGAGGGCGGAGGATGGAGCAAGAAGAAAGCCAAGGCAAAGGGGAAGTGGACAAAAAGAGGCCAAGCAGAGACTCCGGGCGCGTGACTTTGTGCCTCGAAAGGCTCCTTGACCGCGGCTGCCTCAGCAGGCGTAGGGGTCATAAGGTTCCTAGACCTCAACCCGTCCCGTGTTGCCCGGCACCATCGCAGGATGCCTTGAGGCCGTCGGAAGCATTTTCGGGCCTCCATATATGGCCCCCTAATGGTTTCTAGACCTCAGCCCGTCCCGTGTTGCCAAAGGCTGCCTGTAGAATATGACCCTGCGCTGCACCCTGCTGGGTTTCGTCCTAGTGAGGCAGCGCTCAGTGCCCATAATGCCGAATGCCTCTCCCGTTCCAAGTTTGAGGCATGCGCCGTCCCTTCAAGTGACATTTCAGCGCGGGCGCCAGAGCATTCTTTGAAGGCTGCCCAGTGTTCTGCCACTTCTGCGTCCCCGGGGGATAAACCTGCCCCTGGGGTCGTCCTGCGCAATGAGCTTCTGCCAGAAAGAGACGTGCCCTCCTTTGACGATGTCATGCCTTTCTGGTCTTTTCTGGCTAGCCTGCCTCGGCGCATTTTAGCCACTCGAACAAAGTTTTCGATGTTCCTGCTTTCTACTTTTTGCCTGCGCAGGAGCGGCGAGGTCGCTTCCTCTACCGCGCTCCTTCCACTGCCAGTGCCTTACCCGGGCGTCTTTGATAGCAGTGGCCCGAAGTTAGCACTGAAGCGTTGTCGGAGCCTGATGCTCAAACGAGGGGTGCACGTTCTTGCCATGTGCCTCAATTACGTCTTCTGCGGCGGGAATTGGATTCCTGCTTCTGAACTTCGGAGGCCGCCGTCTTCCCACCACCTTGCGGTTTTTGACCGCATCCGGCAGTTTCTCAGCGCGTGTGGCGCCAATGCCCCCCAGGTGCCTCTGTGCTCTGGGCGGCGGAGCCATGAATTGATTGCATGCCTCAGGGGCCTCCATGTCTTTCTGGATGCTAATGACCCCAACGTCAGTGGAGCATACGGAACTCGCGCCTCTGCTGGTCTGGCCTCCTTTGAAGCTGACCGGCCTGAGCTTTCCCCCTACAGCAACCTCAATGCAGATCGCCTGAAGATTTCTGGCAATGGGTCTTTCTGGCCCCTCCCTTACCTTCATCCCTGCCTCACCTTGCCGTTCCTGGAGCGAAAGGTTTTGAGGTTCACAGAAGAAGAGCCTGTGCAGCCCCACCCTACCAAGTGTACCGACTCAGCTCGTGAGCTCCGAGCCCTCTACAGAAAATGGGACGAGCGAGGTCTGCTGACCTTCACCTTTAGTGAATGTGAGGACTGGCAAAAAGTACGAGTTTTCAACGCTCGTAAAAACGACCAGGTCGACAGGCAGATCGGGGATAGGAGGTCCCTAAATTTGATTGAGCGCAAGGTCCCCGGGCCATCATGTGAACTGCCAGTCGGTGCTCTGCTTTGTGGGATACTCCTGCGGCCGAGGGCGATCCTATGTGGGTCGGTGACAGACCGCAGAGACTACTACCACCAAATCATGGTCACCAGCCAGAAACCCTGTCGGACCCAGGATCCCAGTGGACGAGGCGCTCTCCTATGAAGGAGGGCAGCGACTCCTGGCCAGTAGCCCGCCAAAGAGCAGGGAACAAGAGGGAGATGGACTCCATGCCAGCTCCCGCATTAGGCACCGCTGCCCTTCGGCTTCAAGCTCCACCCGTGCCAAGCATGGTGTCCCCACCGTGCAACCGTGTTTTGCCAGCATACTGCAGGGTGACCACACCGGAGTGGAAGTCGCGACGTCGGCTCACGAGGGCCTTCTTCAGGCCTCTGGCCTCCTTGATCCCAAGGTCCGGGTGAGAAGTGGCTATCCGCTGGCGCCCGGCTGCGAGCTTCAGGGTTTAGTCATAGACGACTATTTTATCATAGGTCAAGAGCCTGCGTCCTCCCTGCAAAGCATCGAGAGTCTTAAAGGCGAAGCCCCCGAGATCGCCTTCGCACTGCACTTGACGCGTATGAAAGGGCCGGGGTAAAGGGCTCCCCAGAGAAGGATGTTGAAAATGCCCTGGTCTTCGATGTGGTAGGTGCCCTGGTAGATTCGTCCAGGCGCGCTGTCCGGGACAACCTGATGAATGTAGGGGCCCCCGCTGTACGGCGCCTGGCCCTTGCGCTTGCTTCCCTGCACGCTGCCCGCCTTAGGGGGCTCTTGGAGAGATCATAGGGGGTTGGGTTCATTGCATGATGTACCGCCGCCCTACTGCCACCTGCTTTTCCAAAGTCTACCGCTTTATCGACAGCGAAGAGGTGCAGGCTGCTTCTCAGGACGAGGTCTTCTCCATGTCTCGAGGCGTTGCTGATGAGCTGGTTGTGGCCAGCGTGCTCGCGCCAATGATGGCTACAAACCTTGGAGCAAAGCTCATGCCTAGGCTCTTTGCCTCTGACGCCTCACTCGCAAAGGGCGCCATTGTCAGTACTTCCTTGTCTGACCTCAAAGCTGCCCTGCTTTGGCGGACCTCTGAAAGGAAGGGGGGGTACTCCCGGCTCGATGGAGGGCCCCGAGCTCTCAGGAAAGTCCTTTGGAGACCCTGCGCTTGAGGAGGGGCCACTTGAGGGCCTCCCGCTTGGCCCTTCGAAGAACCCTCCTCTTCGATTTGACTTTGTGGAGATATGTGCGGGTTCGAGCCGTGTCAGCCACTACTGTCTGCAGATGGGACTTGTGTGCTGCCTCCGCTTGATTTAGAGCACAGCCCCCAGTACGACCTCGTCTCGGCGGACGTGATGCTGTGGATTGTTGAAATGATCCGTGTGGGCAAGCTTCTCAGTGGCTTTGTGTCTCCTCTGTGCGCAACTTTCAGTCCTGCTGCCTTTCCGGCGCTCCGAAGCTATGCCAACCCATGGGGGGACCACTCTCACCCGAGGACGAGGCCAGGTAATAACCTGGCACAGCGTGCTCTTGCCATCCTTTTCACTGCCAGGACCTACGGGCGGGGTGCCGGCGCTGAGCAGCCGCGTCGCTCAAAGATGGCCTGGCTGAGGATATGGAAAGCCCTTGCAGAGCTGCCTGGGGTCAGGGAGTTCTTCCTCTCCGCCTGCCAGTTCGGGTCCATCCATAGGAAGGATTTTAGGCTGATAGGTGTCGGGGTTGATTTCTCCAATTGCGCTAGGCCGTGCACGGGTGGGCACGAGCATGTAAAGATCGAAGGGAAGTACACCAAAGCTTCTGCTGTGTATCCCGAAGCCCTTGCCAGAGAAATTGCTGTGTCCTTTGGGGCTTTTGTTTCTCTTTAGAGAGCCCAGGCGCGGGACGAGCAGGCCCCTGTTCAGGGACTGGAGTCCCCTGTCATTGACCTCCTTGCAGGCCGAGCGTGGAAGCTTGAGTCCGGCTCCTTCACTTGTTTGACTCTGCCGTGGCTTTGTCTGCCTGCTCAAAAGGGAGGTCTTCAAGCCTAAAGCTACGAAGGCTGCTGTGCCAGATCTGCGGCCTTTCCCTCGCCTCTATGTAGGCGAGGGCTTTGCCCCGACCAGATTGAACATTGCCGATGACCCTACCAGGGACGTTGCTGTCCGAACTCCTGTGCCCACCTCCTTTGCATCGCGCCTCCCTGAAGAATTCCTGGAGTCCGGCGATTTGCCGCGAACTGGCTGCGACTTTGAATCCTGCTGGCCTTCTGCGCGCCTGCAAAAGGAGCTGCTTCTCCACTTTTGCCCCCAGCTGCCGCTGAACCTCAGGTCTGGCAGCTTTTCTCCTGCGAGGCCCTTCTGGCTCCCTTCCTTCCTAGACTTTTCATTTCTTTCCTTGCGCTCCTCCTGATCATCGCCTCTGCGCTGCGCTGGGGGCACGGCCGTTGGACTTGGACTTTTGGTCGTTGCCTCTTTTACCCTCGCACCCCACCTGCTCTCCTGAACCCGTGCAAGACTCTCCCTAACCCGTGCAATGGCCCAAAGGCTTGCTGCTTGCCTGCTTTGCCTAGGGGTTGGGGGTTCCGTTTCAGGGTGGGGTTGCTCCTCTGGGTATCGAGCCATGACTGTTCTGGAATGCCTCTGGGTGCCTACGAGAAGGCACTAGAAAGAGCAGGCTACGAACTGACCGCCAAGCGCGGAGTGCTTCCTAGGACAGACGCGCATAGGCAGGCTCGACTCCGCGACTTTGCGACATGGATTGCTGAGAATGGTCATGGCTCCTTTCAAGAGCTGCTGGGAAACACTGAGGTTAACGCTGAGGCAGTTAACGCCATCATTTCGGAGTATGGGCAGGCCCTGTATCGTCAAGGGCGACCTTAATGCTGTTTCAGCCTTTAGGCCTTTCCTCCGCAGGCAGCTGACTGGCGCATGGGACGTTGCTTATAATTGGATGGCGCTTGAACCACATGTGCACCATATAGCCCTACCGGGGATCGTCCTCCTGGCCATGGTAGCAACCTGTCTCTTCTGGGGATGGACACGTGAAGCGGGGATTTTCGCCTTGATGTGGGGCGGTCTCTGCAGACCGGGCGAAGTCGTTGGCGCTTTAAGGCGGCATCTCGTACTTCCTGCGGATGTTCTTTTCAGTCAGGATTTTGTCCTCCTCAAGATCGACGAGCCTAAAACGAGGCGTCGGGCAGCGAGACATCAATCTGCCAAGGTCGACTTGCCGGACCTAACGGAAGTCATTGTTATGGCTTTCGCAGACTTGGCGCCAGAAGCAAAGCTCTGGCCTTTTTCTGGTCAGACGTTGCGAGCACGCTTCCAAAGAGTCTGTGATTGCCTCGGCTTGCCAGACGGGCAGACAAAGGGAAAGAAAGGACTGGAGCTTGGTTCTTTTCGGCCTGGTGGTGCCACGTGGCTGTTGCAGAGCAGCGAAAATCCTGAACTGGTCAGGAGGCGAGGGCGATGGCTTAGCCCTCGCGTTATGGAAATATATTTACAAGAAGTGGAGGCTGCCACATTCCTGTCTGACCAGCCCGTCGGTGTCCGTACGAAGGTGAAGGATACCGCTGCAGCTTTTCCTGCCCTGCTCGAAAAGGCGAAGCACTGGCACTTGGCGCGAGTACCTACCTCGACCTGGTTTTTTCTCTTGAGCAATTCCGAAGGTGAAGAACGAGGAGATGGAAAGTCCGGGAAATATGGGAACAGAAAGTGAGCTCACTTGGGGTTTGAGCGGCCAAAAGCCACGCTCTTCTCCCCGTACAGTACCCTGAGCGCAGGCAAAATGGAAGTGCGAGTGACTGACATGCAGTCACGACCATGGACAGTTGCCCGAAGATTTTGCTGCTCCCCACCCACCCACCCGGGAGCAGAAAGTGAGCTCACTTGGGATTTGAGCGGCCAAAAGCCACGCTCTTCTCCTCGTACAGTACCCTGAGCGCAGGCAAAATGGAAGTGCGAGTGACTATCTAATCCTTTTAGAGTCTGTATATACCCCCTCTACGCCTAGGTGGGCGCCCTACAATCCCCCATCCAATTGCAAGGATCCCCATTAGGGCCCCTCCTCAACCCTACAGCCCTAAAGCCCGTCCCCTAAATCCGAAACATATAGCCATGAATAAGGGTCCCCATTAAAGGTCCCTCCCAAACACTAAACCGTAAACCCTAATCCCTAAAGCCCCCAAATATCCTGGGGCGAGGCTTTGGATGGATGGTCAGGGAGCGGACAAGCTCGGTCCTTGTGCACGGGATGCTCCAGAGCGTTGTGGCGCCTCCATCACATTCTACGTTTCGCGGCTGCAATGTGTGTTGGGTTATTCTTTCGTAATAATATTCACAATAGGAATCGGAATAATAGTACTAATAGTATTAATAGCGAGACTAGTATTTAATTACAGTAAGAACGGTAATAGTAAGGGTTTGTACATGGAAGAGAGAGATATACATATATACATTATATACATATATACACATGTTTACTTGCAGATACATAACACAAGATACCACAACATGAATATGCTCGACGCCTGTAGGTTGGGTTCCCTTAAATGGGACATAGGGTTTATACAGGGGACATGTAGGCTCCAGCGTGCAGCTACCCTCCCTAACCCTAAAGTTAGCGTAATGTGGATGTACGGTCTGCGCATCTTGGTCGTGCGATTTCTCTAAACTGCGATATATGTACCTTATGAAGATGTATCTGGGGATATACAGGGTCTAGGGATTAAGGATGTACAGTATCGAGCGGATTGCATCAACTTCCTACATTGGGGTCTTGAAGACGATAATTTTGGGCTATCTGGAGCTGTAGGGGTTGTTGCCACAGGTATCCTGTTTGAAAGTTCAGCTTATCAAGAGTGCAAAGTGTCCCAGCCCAAGCACGCCACCGAACTGGAAGCCCTTCTTGGAGTATCTTTTTGGGCATTTCTGACGCTTACAACTTTGTCGAAATCATGGTTGCCGGGTGGTTCTTAATGATGTTCTAGACATCACTGGCTGCAGTGAAAGCAGACCCAAAAAGCTCACGGTTCCCACTGTCTCCAATGTTGTCTCAGGACTTTGCTGTCGAGAGTCGCCTGGCTGGCATATTTTGGGTCTTGCCTCTTAAAGTGATTGTTACCACACTGGCTAACAGGAGTTATAATAGCCCCTTACTACACCTTGTTTTTGGACAGTTGCCATGAGGTGGAATGATCCAAGCCATTTTCATTTCCCCTTAGTAACACCCCATCCCACCCCACAGTAGCAGTACATACGAGGGTGAATATTCAGGTGGGGCGAGTTTTTCATTGGGGTGAGGTCATAAGGTTGTATACTGCCCCCACTTATAGGCGTTCTCCACAGATTTTTGTACTGTTGATAGGAGTCCTGTAAGTGACCGTATTGTCATGGCCATAAGGGCTTCAGTCAATACTAGCAATTTCGGGTTGCGCGAGGGTAACAAGGTTCTTGGCACACTAACTTCTAGGGCTTAGTTGAGCTTGTTTGAAGAATGGGCCTCGACGTCGAGTTTAGATGTGGGGTTTCTCAAAAGAAAGCGTTTCCTGGATCCACCGTGTTTGGGACTCCACAGGTGTGATCCTAAACCAGCAAACCTCAACCTTAAACCTTAAATCCTAAACCATAAAACCTAAACCTTTACACCTTAAATCCTAAAGTCCAAACCTTAAATCTTGGAATCCAAACCATGCCTGAGGCCTGTCAGAGCGACTGATTTGATGGATGCGGCCATCTGACGAACACTCAATTTTGTGCTTTTAAAAATTAAAAGAAGCACTGAATACTCTGTCTTCTTCACAAGTAAGATTTCTATCTTACAAGGTACCCAACAAGGTGCCCAAGTTTTGAGCAGTTTTTGCTGTACCTTAGTTTTCTCTCAGGCCCAAGGAGGTCGATCAAATTGCAAGTGGCGACTAGCCGGGGCCCCTGCAGGAGTGCTTTTGGGGCACCCATTTCTTGGAGATAAACCCTAAACCCTAAACCCTAAATGGTAGTTTACATTTTCTTTGCCATTATCCCTTTAAAACCCCAATATAGCCCTAATATTACACTACTACACCTTAAACCTTATGGGACTTCGTAAACAATTATGACTATTCGAAGAACCCTGTATGGAATTGGGGGTCACCTGCACGGAAGCCAGTAAGGAGGGCTTTAAGTAAAGATATAGACCCAGGTGGACGTGCTTACTTAGCCCCGTGGACACTCATTCTAGGGGTGCCCGCAAGACTCGTAGGAGCCCAATTCGAGATGCCTCCAGTTGGATAGTGCATTCGTCTCGCCAGCGTGCGAGCCAACCTGGGGTGAAACCCACATCCTGCGCGTTGCACAAGTTCAAAAGCGTGTGCGGGAAGACCTACTCAGAGCGCCTAATGAATTATGTTGTTAACTTGGGCTTTGGTGAGTGTATCTTAGGGTTGCACCGGGAGCATGAGTGAATGCACGCGCAAGGCCTTCATTGAGTGCTATGAATCCCTAAACCCTAAAATGCCAAACTTGGACCATGCTTTGTAAGGCGGGAGATCAGGTTTGCAGAATTCCTTTTCTTCTGGCCCATTTGTTGGTGCGTGTGGCCTGCAGAACCAGAATGAATTTGGCATAGGGGTTCAGCCATCTTAGCGATGGACACTGCAAGACCAAATTGCTTAAGCTCGTGTTACACGGGGTTCGACTCTTACATTTGCAGCAGCAAACGCAGCAGATCGCAGCAGCATGTGAGTGAACGTGGTATAAGGCGCCATTTCTTTGTTCTTGACAGAAGAGATCAATATTAAAGGCCATTCTGCCAGCTGGCAGATGAGTTGCCGCGGCGGCAGCAGCGACATCACCAGTAGCAGGAGATATTAGGACTAGAAGGGGAGCAGAAGTCAGAACAGTAGGAACAGGAGCAGTGGGTGTAGGTGTGGGAGTAGGAATAGGAAAAGTACTGGTACTGCAGTAGGAGTAGGAGTAGTAGGAGTAGTAGGACTAATAGCAGTGGGAGTAGTAGGAGTAGTAGGATCAGTAGGAGCAGTAGGAGTAGCAGATAGAAGTAGTAGGAGTAGTTCCAGTAGTAGAAGTTGTAGGAGTAGTAGGAGAAGTAGTCGGAAGAGTAGGAGAAGGAGTACAGCAGCAGCAGCATCAGCAGCAGCAGCAGTAGTACTAGTAGCAGCTGTGGTAGTAGCAGTAGCAATAGCCATAGCCATAGCAGTACTAGTCACCGTCATATGAGCCGTAGAAGTAGGAGGAGCATGAGAGGAGGCGAGAGCCGCATGATGCTGGCGGATCACTTTGTAGTAATCATCTGCTGTGGGCGTGGCTGTGGTCGTCCTCGTCATCGTCCTCATTGTCATTGCCCTTTGTCTTTACTGTAATTGTGTTTGTCGTGCGACAGGCAATTGCTGCATGCTGTTAGTGTGTATGCATGGATCATAGTGACGTGTTTGTATTTTTCCTCACACATCATTGTCCGAGTAGACTTGTGGCTCAGGTTTGAGCGTGTCATCAAAGGTCACGCAAAGCCAGCATTTAGGGGGCGCATGTGATGGAATGCCATGTTTTAGCAGCTCGGATAGTTGATTGCAAGTGTAACCTCAGTTGCTTTCACTTGAAGACTTGTTGCCAAGTCGAAAGTGCTGGTTCAGTCTCTTAGATTGGCAGGAAATTTCTCAGTGCAAGAAAATTCTCACTGCAAGCATCTGACTCGCCCCGCTTTGAGGTTTTCTTCTTGCAGATGTGAAAGTTTTTCTGCCTGAGGATTTCTGCCGCACCAGATGGCTCACGCCCAGCCTGCGTGCTGACTCAAAACCAGTTTGCTTACAGCCCTCCTCAATGACGGGCAATTTGAGTCATTTTAGGATGTGGTGTGCTCTTAACAGTCGAAAACGTGTGTTGCACTTACCACTGTGTAGTCCCCACTGCTTCACGCGAAGGTGGCGCGTGTGGAGGTTAGATGCGGCACATAGACCTAAAGGTCTCAGAGTGTAAGACGATATTTTCTTGGTTCAGGTTTTGTCACAGCTCATAGCATTTTTCGTGTGAGAGCCCTGCAAACCGCCGTGCTTCAACTCTAAGGCGTGGCATTTTCCATAGATGCATGCAACCTTCACGCCTCTTGGAAAGCGGCAGGCTTGACCGCCGCAGGCAGATCCAACCCAGCCAGAGAACAGACCCCAGTGACTGGGAGGAGTTTCGTGCAAATCTCCACAGGATGTGGTCAAACGATATGGTTTGAGATCACTTGTGCGCGAGAAATCCTGTCCGGCTTTTGCCCAGCACCTACGAGGAGGATCCCTGATCCCGGCACCTGCCTGGTCGGACAGTCAGTTGCTGGGCTGACATTTGTACTGCCCGCATGCAGCAGCCGAACATGTAGAGATGGTTAGCAACTGGCTGTGCCTTGAAAGCAAACTGGACTTGGATCAAGCATGCCCTTCCCGAAGGTCGATGCTTGGTGTGAAGAAAGGAGAAGCCGCGTCCAGCGTCAAAGCCCGGCTGATTTCAAGCGCCAGAAGCACTGACAAGTTTCTCCCGTGCGCATCAGCATCAGCAAACATGCAGACAGAAGGCCGTCAAGTTGAGCAGTGCAGAGACACTGCTTGTCTGCCTCGCAGCCCGCTGCCGAACAAGCTGTTGCAAAAGAGAAGACGAGGCCTTGAGAATTTGCACAAATCCTTCATGTCGCGATACGGCAAGACCTGCAAGGCTTGATGCACAAAGGATGCACAGGTCCTTCCAAAGCGGGGGGAATGTGGACATTTCTGAAGCTCGCCCCGCTTGCGGCCAGTTTGCATGACCCAGGACCGCTGAACGGGTTCTTGGGCGCAAGGGTCTGTGGAAGTTTGCGAGATAACTGCTTGTCTTGGGACCTCAAGTTTACTTTGGTACTGGCTGCTACACTGTTCCAGTCAACGGTGGCACTAAATGCTAAACTCTGTGCATTGCAATGAAATTCCTTTGATGCAGATCCTAAGATCTGTTATTCACGTTCCGAGCACAAAATGTAAGTCTGGACATACATTGTCTTTACAAAGGATGGGCCTGAGGGCTCTCTACCAAGCTTTTGAATAAGGCCAGGTAGTGTGCCCCTAGCCGAGTTTCCTGTGAGTTGTGCACGCAGCAGGAGGTCCGTTTTGAACTGCTTGTAGCCAAACCTCAAAACAAGCTAGGAAATGGACTTCAGTGACCCAGTCCAAAACATGAACATTCTGAAGGTCTGAAGGCCGCTATGCTGACAAAAAGGCAGCATAGACCATCAAGACATCAGCTGCCACAGGTCGCAGTCTAGGCTCTTCACATCCGCTCATCAC